CCATTAGTTGTTAAAATGGCCTTAATGTTCTTTTTCCTGTTGCCCAATAATAGGTATAGTTACTTTACTTACAGGTCCTTTGCATCTAGTGACTACTGAATGAGTGGCCCCACTGTCAGTTAGAAAATCTATCGTTTCGTTCCCCAGCCTAACTGGAACCAGAGGATCAGCTTGGGAGACCTTAATATTTTTTCCCCCAGTCCACTTCAGTCTTTGTATGAATATTCTAACATAATGAGGTTAGCACACTTGCTACATGATCTTGCTCTTTTACCTGCTTTGGATTCAGGTATTCGTTCTTCCAGTGTCTCTCCTGTTTAGAGAACGCGCATTGATTTGGCCCTAACGGAGTTTGATTTTGTGAGTCTGTTCCCTTCATCGTTCTGCCTTGTCCCCCTCTCCCTCTGCCTCTTCTCCTATCTCTCCCTCTAATGTTATTGCCATTTATTGCTGCTGCTAACAGAGATGCTTGCAACTTTATTCTATTCTGCTTCTCTTTTCTTTCTTTCTCATCCCTCTTGTTATACACTTTATATACTATTTCCATCAGTTGAAAAATTGACGTTCCTCCGCTCCATCAACTTCTTGTAACTTTTTCCTTGTATCCTGGGCCGACTGCCCAATAAACAACATACTGAACATTTTCTGGTTTGTCTCGTCGTCCGGATTCAAATCAGTCAATGATTCAAATCATTTTCTAGATACTTCACATAACCTTTCGTAAAAGGCTAATGGATTTTCCTCTGAGCTCTGCCTCTCTTCATAAAGTTTAGACACATTCTTCGGTTTAGGTGCTCCATATTGAACCCCATATAGTATCAATTGATGATACTGCTTCAATTGAGTTATTTCTCCCCTTACATTAGGGTCCCATCCTGGGTCCTTTTTGGTAGGCAGAGAAGTCTGAGTTTGAGTTATCCTGCCTATTCCTTCTCCCCTACTCTTCCGTGGCTTTTTCAGCAACCATTCTTTTTTCTTCTGCCTTAAAAAAATGTGTTTAACAAAGCTTATACATCTCCCCAATTGGGATTATGTGTTAGCACTGTGGTTTCAAACAGCTGGTGCGTTCCTTCAGGGTTTCCCCTGTTTGAGCCATCAGATTGTTTCCAATTCAACAGGTCAAAGGTAGTGAAGGGAACATGCACAAATGCTGGCTGTCCTTCTGGCCCCACCGCTTGTCTCAAGGGACCTTGAACAGCCGATTGGGTATGCCCTCTAGTCCGACTGGAAATAGGACTAAAATTTTTCATTGCCCAAGGGTGAACTAGAATCACCTGTGGACTGTTCAGTATTATCTTTGTATGAAAGTGGGGTGGTTGGGACCAGTAACTGCACATCCTCCTGTTCTTCTTCCCCTGCAATTCTTCTATCACCTCATCCCCTACAACAATCATTCTGCTTTTTCTCAGTAGCCACATACATCACCAAGTCAGCTGGCAGCTTACATTTCCATCTAATATCAGGCTCACTGTATAGAGTCATAAAAGCATCAGCATAAGGCACTTCATCCCGCTTTCCCATCCAATGGCAAAATAACATCAATTGTAATATAGTGTTACAGTTTACCGATCCATTTTCTGGCCAGACCTCACGATCATCCGATTTACACCATTGATTACAGTATCTTTTCATCTTTTCTTTAGTCATTGGATCACTTCCCAACTTCTTCAGTTTTTTCAGAATGCACCCCAAAGAGCTACATGGAGGAGGAGTTGTGGAGTGATTTGATACCATAATTTTACCTATCATCCTCTACCTGGGTGCATGCCGGGTGAGCTCAGCTCTGGCAGCCCCCTGCTGCCACGCATGCACGCACCCACACTTTGCGGGCCAAGGAAGCTGTGGCCGGCAAAGGGCCAAGGAACCGAACCCACCTCGTGTCCGCGCTGGGCTCTGGCAGCCCCGTGCTGCCACACGTGTGTACGGTAAAAGCCAACCGTAAAAAAATAACACCAACTCAGGTGTCCGCCCCCCCTTCACCCTTGTACATCTCTGTACAAGCGTTGCACTGTTGAGCCACTCGCTGCCCCAACGCAAGAGGAGACCCGAAGGACTCCCCGCCCGACTAGTGGGTGCGCGCTGGAGGCCTCTGCGAGCTGTTTCTCCACCACCAGGGCAGCGAGACAGGCCAGGCAAGGCTTTACGGCCGTCCCACCTGAGGCATCAGCAATGTTATCCCAAAAGAAGGGTTCTTTCACCCGGTGTGGAATGAGCCGAAAACCGCACAGAGTCGAGGAATTTGTTTAACTCATTTCTGTGCGGAGATGGGTGCTAGGTGGTGGTTGCACAAAGCTAGCACACACCCTGCATACCACACAGCCGACACTTTATACGGTTTAAGCAACAGTTATCGGTACAATTTACAACTGCATTAAGTCACCCTTGAGCCCATTGGCTCCTGCTAGGTCTCATCTTCGTTTAAAGCCACAGTAGCCTCTTTTTCCACTACACGTGCTCTGTGGGGAAGGGGCTTTGGTTGGTAGGGGGCTTCCCTGCTCGTGGGTGGGTTTTTTATTATGCTACTTAGAATCGTTCAGCCGTAGTTCCAGTAGTTCCCTTTGGTTTATCAGCTGTTTTTGTTCTCTTCGGGCTTGTTGGGGTACTCCCTTATCCGGCTGACTTAGGGTGTCATCTTGCTCCTTTCTTCAAGGCCTTGTTTTGTTAACTATCTGTGAGAGACTGATTAATGCCCTAATCTCCTTTTTCCACATATCTCCAACAACGAGGTTGTATCTAGAATATTGTATTTTGGAACAAAGTTGAATATTACAAACTATATTATTATGCTGCTAAATTAACAGGCCAACAAGTAAAATTTACTCTTAAATGTCTATTGATAAAGTAATTACTTCAAATGACCTGTTGTCATATTCAGAGTTTGTCCTGTCTATGTTGTCTTAAATCTTGCTAGCCTTAATTTTGTTTTCTAAAAGTTGCAACCATGCATCTTAGACCTTGAAAATGAAAACTATGCTCTTGTCAAATATATGATTGAAAAGTCAGTTGCAGATTAGTCTTTTCTCCTTAAAGCAGAGATGTTATGTAGCACAGAATGAAATGGGCAGGGAAAGGTTCCTTGACGTGAGCAGGGTTTGCCTTCCTCCCGGTGTTCCCAGGGAGCAGTCTCAGGGCGCCAGCCATTTGTGAAGATTCCCACACTCATACTTTATTATGTGGTGTTTTTAACTGGTGGCTACTGTTAGAACAGTCTTACTTAAAACAGCGGAGCATTGACATCTGTGCTTCTGCTGCTGGAGGGCAACGGTTTACATTAACTTTATGTAAGGGCACCTTGCTGTTCATTGTGTGAAGCCTCCTGAAGCCAGTGCGGTTTGAGTGCTCTCATCAAGTACCTGAATGTTGTGAGTGCTAGTTACTAGTTTCCATGCTAGAAGCGGAAGCAGACCACTGAGAGGAGTTCCTCCAAAGCCTGACTTCGGTTTGTATCAAGAAGAAAACATACTCTTCCCCAAAGTATGCAAAGCATTTAAGGTATTTGCATTTTAAAAGCTCCTCTTGCTAAAGAAAGCTGTAGCTGAAAGGTATGTGTGTGCTTGGGGGGGGGGGGGCGGTAGCACTGGTCAGAATGTTGCAAAGTGCGTGGGCAGCTGCCCGGATTTGGAGCACTTTTTAAGGTTTCAAGTAAATCCTCTGCATGGTCAGGAAAAAAAATGTACGTGAAACAAGGGAGTGTCTTTCAGCGGCGTGCTGAGCTCGCTCTCACTCCAGGGTGCTGTTATTAGAGGATTTTAATGTTGCCAGATTAACAGCCACAGATGATCTCTTGAGCCTGAGATCCCCGATAAAAATCGGAATGATGTCTCTGTGCGGAGATCAGAGCGTGCGCTCTATTCTTTGCTGCTCCAGAAGCGGCTCAGGCACATAATTGAAATTTTTAATAGGCAGCATCTGCTGAGGATTTTCACTCGCTCGCTCCCTCCCTCCCTCCTGCCCCCTCTCCCCTAAATTACGAGACTTAAGGAGAACTTGGTGCCGCGCTGCACACTGCCAGGAGGCTCTACGACCTCCCGCACAGCCCGGGCTGACAATGGGCTGGTTTCATTCGAATGCAAATTTCCCTTTGGCTGCGATGCAGGGGAAGTACCCGCCCCTTTGGCAGCTCCTCCCTTGCCCTCCTTTCCCTTTGTGCCTTGTAAATAAGCAAGAAGCAAGTGCCTTTCACTGCGGCGCCGCAGCTGCCGGGGCTGGCGGGGAGAGGGGCCCGGGGGAGCG